GAAACGGTCATCCAGTGTTTCCAGGTTTTCCATGGTGGTCTAGCTTCAATTGACTCACGCTTTCAACTATAATAAATACTAAATCTCCACAAAACCCCTTCTATAAAAGAGAATAATGATAATAACAGGAACGATATAGAAGACATGTATTTTTGATGTGTGTTTCTTTACTCGGTTTCACATTTTCCTAAGTTTTAATATTCAATGAAAGTAATCAACTTGTTAAGAAGATGACATAGATCAGTGGATATAAAGTTCAATTGAATCTGATAATATTGTAATGAATGAGAACATAAGTGGGGATTGTGGTGTGAGTTACTTATATCCATATAAGCAGTATTGTAGTGAACAGAACACGACTCAGTCAGTTACAACGTAGAACTTCAAACGTACGTACGTACATCAGTTCAAGTTGTCAAACCACAATAACACACAGATACAGTTGTCGATTCAAATCCCATAGTGGTAGAATTAGTAAGAGTATAAGCAGTAATCAGAAAGATTAGGGTTTGAAGATGTTATTGAAGGAGTATAATACAGTGAAATAAATTTGGAAAGGAAAAAAGGTTAGAGACAACCGAACACGACTGGGGACAATCGAATGTATTTAAGCACAAATTACAGACTATCTCACTAAATTCTGATGACCATACATTGATAAACAGTTAATTTGCAAAATAACATTCAATTGTCTCAATCTCCACTGTTCCTTCTGTAAATATCAATCCATCTTCTTTAATTTCATTGTTGCATGCATTTTCCTACCAACTGCTCTTCATTTCAGTCCTTTACTTATCCGTCTTCTGCCATAATACATTCTATGTCTGACCATCACTATATACTACTTATATGGATATAAGTAGAACACAATACAGTATATAACGATGGTCGTGTACTTACTTACTTACGCCTGTTACCCCTCGTGGAGGAGCATAGGCCGCCCACCAGCATTCTCCACCCAACTCTGTCCTGGGCAATCTTTTCAAGTTCTTTCCAGTTGTTATTCATCTTGTTCATATCTGCTTATTCCTTCAACTCCCAGGGCAGAGTTTAAATGGTCTGAATTATTTTTTTCTGGTTAGCGTTCTTTTAGCGAGTTAGTTTTTCTACAGGATGGGGTCGCTAACACCATTTCCAACCTTCCTCCTTTACCCAGGCTTGGGACCGGAAGTAACTCTAAAAGGGTTGCATGCGGAGTTAACGATGGTCGGATATTGAATGCATTTCAGTAGAAGATTGATAACGAAAGAATGGGAACGAATGGCAGTTAGTATGAAAATGCATGAACAATAATGAGAATCAGAGACGATGGACTGATATTTGCAGAAGGGACGGTCAAACTAACTATTTACCATATGGTTCTCACATTTTACTGACATATTCTGTAATTTTGTTCCTACAGACATTCGATCGCACCCACTCATGTTCTTGTTCACTACAGGGACAACTAAATGTACTTGAATACGAAATTACAGGATAACTTAATAAAATTTGAGAATTATACAGTAAACAAATCACTGCAAAGTGCCAATCAATCAATCTTCTCAGACTTCATTGTTCCTTCGCTTACACACTAATCATTCTCTGTTCTCGTTCTCTTCGATTTTCTCAATCTTCAACCTCCAGGCATCTCACTTTTGACTGATTATACATACTACTTATATCAGTCGACATCAATAGCACATACCACAATATAAGTCTCAATAAATTTTCCATTTCATATTTTACATAAGAAATTGAACTTAGTTAAATATATAATAAGAACCAAAAAGTACTGAATAGTTGTTTCATTTTAGTAGGTAACGCTTGAACTGTAAATATCCACAATCTTACAAGAGGTTGGAGTCATGACTTTCATTTCTTATGACATTACTCTTATTCTCTGAACCACAGGTTTAGGGACTATCCTCACTCTCAGCCGTACCAGGGTATGTGGGGGCTCTAATATCATCTAATATCATGAATTCTCATAGTGAGCACGTTACCTTTGGGTCTTTAAATAAAACCATATCTAACCCATCAAAGAAAAATGGCTCCAAATAAATTAACTTGGTTTTATACACACAAAATGAAACGACAGTGTTTCCATAGATATTCACTGTATAACTCAGCTCTGCTTACTGAATCAACTAGTAAACTAATAAATATGAAGATTGTTTATCATAAATAAGAAACATATATTCCGATCCAGAAAGACAGTTTCATCTCTGAAGGTAGTAATCTGTGTTGAAATACAACAGTTCCACAATAATGGTAATGCATATTCCAGTGCATGGTACCTGATAACTTAGTGAATATATGATGAAAACCGTAAATGTTTCTGTTAAAATACATACTACTTATTAGTAGTCAGATTTTTATAAGCGAATTTACATAACCCCTTATTGCATTACTAAGTGACCGATCAACCCGAAAACCTAGGTCTCAGTTACAGCCTAGATAACGTATCCATAACCTATAAAAAATTTATGGCTCCTATGATTATTCTACTTGTATCCGAATTATTTTTTGAGCATGGTTGATATGTACATGGGTGACGAAACCTTTCCTTCATTCATTAATATTTCGGGAACTAGCGATGAAAGTGGTCAACCAATTTTTTTCAATACAACACAAATGAATACATTATCTTTATGCCATACAAATGAATCGAACCAAAAACTATCAAACAATAGATATTCTTACAATGCCGCGTACTGCTAGACTACTTGAACGATCGAATCCGCAACGTCGCAAGAGAGAAGGCAGAAGACTAGTAAGTAGGAATTTTATTCCCCAAAACACTGTCAAAATATAGTACAGAAATATCATGTATTTATAGTTTTCTGGCTGAAAGTAAATCATCATTTCGGACAGTCAATAGACACATAGGGGATCATTATTATTCATCAAATAGGGAAGCTATACGTCTACATTCTAGAATGGTCCGCTAGCAGTGATTGGATGGAATGTCTTCAGCTCTTTCTGAGCTTCTTGAGATTTCCTAGAGTTTACCAACGAGCCGTCCTTACAATATTGAAGATAAAACCTAGAGTTTTCTTATCATTATCCTATTTAGATACCAACATACTTAACTGATCAATGTATGTCTCCTACCTTTCTTCGTTCTCTGTTTACTCATTTCTTATAATACTCCATCTGATATCATTATGATTAAAGCTGTTTATCTTAGGGACTGATGATGACACTATCGAGATTCACTCTGATATCAGCTTCATCGTTCAACAAGCTAAGTAGAAGAAAGTTTTTGGTTGTTTCATAGTTGTTAGTAAAGTATGACTTTTTGTTGCATATGAGCTCAACTTTTCGATGGGACATGGTAAATACCCCCGTTTAGAAGATTGAATTCAATGACTTCCCATAAGATGTTGCGTCACTCAATATAGTGAACGCAAACAGGATATATAGAAGTCGGTTAATACTAAGAAATAAGCGCTACTTATAATTACTCTTTTGGTACGGTCTAATACACCAAAATGAAGGTCTTTTTATTCTTCGATCATATTAGTTTCATCTTTAATTCTACTTTCTATGCTTAACTAACTCCTGAAGGCTGAAAACGAGGAGGACCAAAGAACACATTACGCTGAGAAATGGAAACAGACATAAGAAGAATGAACAAAAGTTGGATAGAACTAGAAAGGAAAGCCCAGGACAGATTTGGTTAGAGAATGTTTGTCGGCGGCTTATGCACCATTGGGAGTAACAAGAGTAAGTAAGTCTATGCTTAACTATTTAATACAATCAGTATAGACTTGGATCCCTTACCATTCATCATGTTATTTCTTCATTTGTTTGGTGATGCAAGATACGATTAATTACACAACTATTCTTCAGATTTAAGGTTGTTTATGATTGACTGATACACATTATTTACTCACTTACGCCTGTTAACCCTCGTCTAGGATCACATGCCGCTCACCAGCATTCTCCATCCAACTCTGTGATGGACGATCCTTTACAGTTGGCATTCATCCTTTTCATATCTGCTTCCAATTCCAGACGTAGTGTGTTCTTTGGCGTTTTTCTTTTCCTTTTCTCTTCACCATCCCAAGTAAATCCTTGCCTCGTAATGCAGTCTGATAATTTCCTCAGTATGTGTCCCATCCACCTCCAACGTCCTTTCCTTCCCTCCTTTTCAACTGGAAACTGATTTCTGCTCTCCCAGAATAAACTATCGCTGATGGTATCCAACCAACAGACATTAAGTATCCTGCATAGGGCTTTATTTATTTATTTAAACACGTAAATATTGATACAAAGAAGCACCGCACAAATCTCATTCGATTTGTGTGAGGGCTTTGATACTACTCAGGTGCCCAAACTGAAGCTGATGGTTTTCTTAGGGGGCCACACCCGGAGCCTTTGACCTAAAGATTTGATCCACAAGGCGGTGGAGCATCGTGAGGAGATGCAGTCATATGGTAGCCGGTGACCAACAATTGATTCGTACGCCATTTTTGCCTCAGGATACTGGAGCCCATGTACACCATTTGTTTGGAATCAGAGTTTTCCAACTCCCCTAGGTGGACTTTCCGTGTCCATCAACCCGGTTAAAGCGCCGGACACTCGCTTTTTGTCCTCTCACTTTCGTAAACAACAATAATGCCACGAGAAGGTAATTAGTAGGACTTCCCTGACAGAGTCTATATTATGCGTGGCCTTGTGAGAGCATTTCGAGAGGGAGAGCGGTCTCTCCCCACTCTCGGCCGTACCAGGGCATTTGGGGGCTGATATACATACAATTATTAAAAGAAGTTTGTTTCTACTTAAATCCCCCCTCTTGAGATCAACGGAATACATTCCATAAGTGATCTTCACTACATCTAATTCGATAAACCAAATATCTCTTGTTCAACTATTCGTCTATCACGAGTATTCAACCGAATTAATAAGTAGTTTATAACTTTCACCATCAATAAATGATCCATCGATCAACTAATCATATTTGAATCCAATTCTTTATTGATTCTATCCATATAAATACTCATGTTAATATAGTTTAACAATACCAATCAAGATTAAACCAGAAAGTATTCAAATGAACTAATCTCATCTTATTCATTGAAGTATTCATATTACAAGGAACTAAGTTCTATTCCAAAATGTCTAACCGAAATCCTAATACTACTACTACTACTCCTACTACTTATGAATCCATTGGTCTAACTAAAAAACAATACAATTTATATCGTCATTTAAATTCCGATAATATGAAATCTATATTATATCAGAATGATTGGAATATACCATTTCATTATATTCAATATCCAATATGTCATTGTAAACATTTCATTCAAACAAATAGTAATACTACTAACAATTTAATAAGTAGTCAATTAAAAGAACAACAATATGAAGATTATTGTCATTATAAACCTATATTGAAGATTGAATGTCCTTGTAACATAATAAAGTTGAATAGAATCAAATCAAATCCATCTTGTTGTAAAGTACATTCTACAACCTATTCCACGAATTGTTGTCATAGATACTATCCAAAGTTATTATTGGTTAATCCATTGTGCAATTATCATAATGAACAAGTGAATAATCATAGATGTGTACATTGTTTATGTCAATGCTGTATTCAATCGAAATGGACTAGTTCAGTGATTCCATCATGTAGTAATTGGCAGTATTATGAGAAATCTCATGAATGATGGTATTATGGTTACTGGATTGGATCAATATATATATGCATACACTAGATGTGGATTCATTTATGAATGATACTTCAAAAGTGACTTTTATGTGTTTTGGTACTTGAAAAAATTGATTTTAAGTTTTTTGGCAATAAAATTTGCTTTGATTTCATGTGACTTTATTGCATTATACAGGACTTGGTCTTGACTTAAATCATGTTGAAACATTGAAGGTGAAGAACTATTTTAAGTAACAGGGGTTTAGTAAGATCTCACAGTAAATAGTAGCAAAAACCTATTATTTGTTTGCTAGTATTGTATTATTCAAATTACTTACTTACTTACGCATGTTACCCCTTGTCAAGGAGAAAAGGCCGCACACCAGCATTCTCCATCCAATAATTTCCAGTTAACATTCATGCTTTTCATATCTGGTTCTATTTCCTAGTGTAATGTGTTCTTTGGCCATCCTGTTTTCCGCCTTCCTTCAGGATTCCAAGTTAGAGATTGACTCGTAATGCAGTTTGGTGATTTCCTTAATATATATCCGATCCACTTCCAACGTCTTTTCCTAATTTCCTCTTCAGTTGGATGTTGATTTATCCTCTCCCACAACAGGCTGTTGCTGATAGTATCCGGCCAGTGAATGTTGAGTATTTTGCATAGACGACTATTTATAAATACTTGTACATCCTTGACGATGGATGAATTGGTTTTCCACGTTTCAGCGCTGTACAGTAGAATTGTCTTGACGTTCGTATTGAAGATTCTCACTTTAAAGTTAGTTGACAATTCTTTTGTGTGTGCTTAGTGACCTCGTATTTTCTGGATGATTGTAAAATACATTCTCTACACTTCATCAAGACTTTTTGATCTAGTTAGCAGGGTCGGGGACAACGGATTAGAATAAGCTTATCATGTCACTGTGTTTTTGATCTTTGTTCCGTTTACCGAGTAAGATGTACTCGTTAATAGCATCAAGCATATCAATGTTCAAGGTTGTAATTATTATCATTATTGTCAATCTCTTATGGCTATTCTTCTTCCTCTTCTTCTTCTTCAAATAATAATGATCATCATAATTAGTAATTAACAAGGTTATTTGATTCACTATTTACATAACTTATTTATATAATCTAATCAAACTAAATGTCATATGAAATATAGTTTAGAAAAAAAATTGAAATTAGTAAAATAGAGGGAAAGAGAAGGAAAGAAAGAGAGAGAGGGAGGGAGAAAGAGGGGAAAGGAAAGAGAGTCAAAGAAGAAAGTAATCTTTAAGGCAGCAACAAAAAAAGAGAAAAAAGTAAACGTTAATAAATTTAGTTTCCGATTAATGAACTAATTAAATAGGATTATTACAGTTTTGAAATGATTTAACTAGATATTTTCATAGTTGAATTCATGAGTCGATTGAAGCTAGACCACCAAGGAAAACCTGGAAGCACTAGACAGCACGAGACTGATAGGTCTTAGGTTCGAATCTCGCGAGGAGGGATTGTCGATGCATTGATGAATCTCCACTTTCAACTTCAAATAAACTATAAAATTATCAAGCATTATTCAAACTACTTTCTGATAGTAAGTAGTAAAGATCTACTATGAAAATTAGAGGAGAGCATACAAACTGGCACCGTTTCACATCACTTCATAACCAGGATTTACTCTAACCTCAAAACATGGGAAAAAGTAGGGATTAGGGTAAAAACTATTAAAATGACGTAATAGAAAGTGCTCAATTAGAAGTGAAAAATACGTATGAAAGGGAGTGCAAAAAAATAAACAAAAGATATAGAGAATAGTATTAGTAAAATCATTTCTTCAGTCTAATCTCCTCAAAAGACTAGGACCTTGTAGATCGTTCCTGAATGTGTAGCTTAGTGTTATGGGTTAGAACCCCTATAGCTTTTTTATACACAGGGGATGAGATAGAACTCTTTTGAGAAACGACGAAGCTATACCGTAGATCATTTAAAATGATTTAGTTTTATTTGACACAAAACGCCTGTTGATCAGTTACGATAAAATGAAGCTACACGTTGTCTTTGTTCCGCGTTTATCAGATTAATCTGAGAAGTATCCCTTAATTGTTGATTGGTTTACCTAGTGGCGCACGTAATGTACAAGAAAAGTTGAATATGCAAACGCCCATCAAAGTAAACTCCGATAACTTATCCTTAGTTTGAGCAAAAATCACTGGTCGATTAGGGTATAGCTATTTAAGATTAGATGAGTGAGAAATATTCTTAATGATTATCATTATTATTAGCTTTATTCAATATTATATTATTTGGTACAAAATCGAATTCTCAGCATAAAGTATTTCAACATGTTTACGTTTCTTATTTCTTCGTTGCTCCTGATGATAAACATTCAGTGATCGCCAGTTGGATGTCAGCAGTTCAGTCAATCGACATATGAATAATGTATATTCTTTTTGCTGCATGTTCCCAGCAAACACGACATCTCTGATTAAGCCTTTTGTAATCTTTACAGCGAAAGGTTGTGCAGTTTTCAGAAACGCACCGGAATAGGTTGTATGCTTAATAGCCATAATTATGGATTAAAACAAAAACAATATTAGATAACTTGTTGAAATATATAGATGACGGGAAACAGGTAACCCAGATGTTTAAGCAGGCCGCCGTTCATTATTATCATTTCAACGTTTGTTTCTTTTCCAAATTTTGACCTGCCTCCTGAATTACGCCTTTATCATTCTTATTACTGTTAGTGCGCTTATCCGCATACTATCAATTTGTACTTTCACCAACGTTTAGTTAAGTATTCTATTTTATTGTTTTATCCTAGTGAAGACATAAGTAAGGGTAACTTCCGGGACCTATTAATGCACGATTATTCTATACAGATTCTTATTGTATAACTATTCAGTAACTAGATTATCTATATCTATATTCATCTTATCATAAGCTTCATTCTGATCTATGAATTATTATCATACGATTTACTGTCCCTAAATTATATCCAGTTTATAGATTACCGTCTGCCACGTTCATAGCCACACTTGACTTGATCTTGTACAAATATTATTTTCTATTTTATGGTGCGGTGCGATGTCTGGTATATATAAAAACCAAGCATAAAATCATAACAGTTATCATTGACTCACAGATTACTTTAACTTATTCAATATATTTTTTAAGTATTGCGTATAAATAGTATTGTATATTAGAGTGAAGCTTAATGACGATCTTAATTGGAAACAGTATTATTCGCTGATACATCCTGTTGTAATAAGAAATAGTATATTTCAAGAAACAATAGCAATCATACGGTGGAATTCATATACATATAAATGAAATGATAGCCCCCAAATGCCCTGGTACGGCCGAGAGTGGGGAGAGTCCGCTCTCCTTCTCGAAATGCTCTCATATGGCCACGTGTATAGAGCCTCTGACAGGGAAGTCCTACTCACTGCCTTCACACGACATTACTGTTGTTTACGAAACTCAGAAGACGAAAAGTGAATATGTGACGCTTTAACTGAGTTGGTGGACAAGGAAAGTCCATGTAGGGGAGTTGGAAAACCCGATTCCAAACCAACGGTGCATATAGACTCCAGTATCCTTAGGTAACAAATGGCGTATGAATCAATCGTTGGTCACCGGTTACCATGAGACTGCATCTCCTTACGGTGCTCCACTGCCTTGTGGATTAGACCTTTAGGTCAAAGACTCCGGGTGTGGCCTCCTAAGAAAACCATCTGCTTCAGTCTGGACAACCGGGCAGTATCAAAGCCCTCACACAAATCCAATGAGATTCGTGTGGCGCATATATATCTGGTGCTTCCTTATACCAATATTTGTGTCTAAATAAATAAATAATAAATGAAGAGACTTAGTAAACCAATTCAAATCATTACTCCATTACAATAGATCATGAAAATCAATCAAATCAAATATTTTTATATCCTAGTGAAGACATAAGTATCGGTAACTTCCAGGATTTATTAATAGACGATTATTCTATATATATATATTCTTATTGTCCAACTATTGAGTAATTAGATTGTGTATATCTATATTCATCTTATCATAAGCTTCATTATGACCTATGGATTACTATTATACGAATTACTGTTCTTAAATTATATTCACTTTATTGATTATTGTCACCCACGTTCACAGCCACATTTAGCTTGATCTTGTACAAATATTATTTACTATTTGATGATGTGATGCGATCTGTCTGTCTGGCATATAAACCGAGTATGCTTGAAATAAATAATTCACATAGCTGAAGCCGTAATTGGTGTTCTCGGCTTAACAGAACGGGCTAGGCGAACAAAAGACCAATAAGAACGATAGACTACTCATACTGGTCGAACGTCATTGTTTCGGCACAGTACTAAGATTAGACAAGTCGTATTTCAATTGGTGGCTAAATTACGTGATAAAAAAATAAACCCGGACATAAAATCATAACAAATTGGCATACAACAATTTTTTTAAAAAAAAGAAAATTCATAAAAAAAATAAGATTCAATAAAAAAAAATTTTTTTACATTGTTATTTTTTTCTTTTTTCAAAAAATATACTTTACAATAAACAATCTCACTCCAAAAAAAAAAATAATCTGAAGGCTACAATACCATAGAAACTATTAATCATTATGTCCATGATGGTATTAATGAAGGAGATAGATTCCACCAAAAATTTACTGAAAAACTACATGTTAATGAACGTACATAATGCCAACAACGTGGTGGTATATATAACATTTCTCCCTTTTTAATGATACCATAATAACCATAAGCATTTTTAAATTTAGGAAATTTTATTAAATCAATATGATCTAAATCTATTTGAGATGTATTCGTTAATAAATCATTATAAGGATATAAGTTTTTAGTTTCTATAGATGGATATAATATAATTAATTTAAAACCATTAATTTGTGTTAATAAATTAGCACGATCATTATCATGATGTAATGGAGAGATTGTATTTTTTGGACCAAACCATAAATTAGTTTCTATGGTATTATTATTATTATTATTATCATTGATCGATTCATTACTATCACCAGTTACATAACAATAATCTGGTATATATATATCATTTTCTAATTCTGGTATCTGACTAAATATATTATATTGAGCTAAATAACCTTTTTTTATATTTTTATTATTATTATTATTATCAATAATTGATTGATTAAAATAATAATCAATAAAATTATTAATTGTTATTAATTTTTGTCCCCAATTATTATCAGTATATTTTTGTCCAATTTCAATTGGTACTAATCTATAACCATAATTTAATTTCCAATAATTTAATGTCCAATTATTTAAATGATTATTTTTAATTGATGGCCAATAATTAATTGAATTATTAATAATAAATGGTTTATTTAATTGAATTAATTTATTAAATAATTCAATACTTGGACAATTATATTGTTTTAATTGAATTAAATTTAATTTTATATCATCTATTATATTCATATATTGATCTATATTATCATTATTATTATTACTATTAGTATTATTACCATTATTATTACTATTATTAGTAGTATTATTATTAATATTACTATTATTATCATTATTATTACTATTATTACCAATATTATTATTACTATTATTATTCATAGTATTATTATTTGTATTATTATTATTACCATTATTAATTCTATTATTATTAATACTATTATTATTACTACTATTATCATTATTATTACTATTATTATTAATATTATTATTACTATTATTATTACTATTACCATCATTATTATTACTATTATTAGTAGTATCTAATTCAAATAACATAGATGATAAATAATAATTTTCATTTAATAAAGAATTTCTTTTAATTATAATAATTGATTTATGTAATTTTGTAGCTAATTTTGAAGCAAAATGATTAAAAATAGGATAACCCATAATTAAACTAAGATCTAATTCTTTAATTAATTCTATAATACGATCATTATTATTAGTAGTAGTATTAGTAGTACTAATAGTAGTAGTAGTATCAGTAGTATTAGTACTATCAGTAGTACTATCAATATCAAATTGATTATGATAATATAAATTATATAATACAATTAATAATTTAATAGATGAATATAATATACGCCAACAAATATGTACATGTTGCCAATGACCTGTATGTAATTTTTCCCATATATATTGTATCATATAATTTGTTAAATTTTTATAATTTTCATATGACATTTTCATAGTTTTATAAAGGTTTAATAAATTATTATAATCTCTTAATAAGATTAGACCATATTCTAATTTATAAGATTGAATAAGATCATAAAATTGATCTGATGATGGAGCATTTTGATCTAAATAGTCTTTGATCAACATCTATGATATTAAGGGAATACACATACATAGGTATACATGTATGTATGTATGTAGAAAAAAGAAAACAAAAAGTTTATTACAATTCATATGTAATATGAAAATTTAGAACAAGAAAGATAAAAAAGAAACGTTAAACACTGTTTCCATGGAGTTAAATGAGTCGGTTTCCAGTTAGCACGAAATATAGATCTACGATATGTTGATGATAATAATATTAATGAAGCAGTGTAACTTCATCAGTTGAGATGACTGGGACACGTGTTAGGTATGCCAAACCAACCACCGACTGTCCCGATGTGCGATGTTTTATGATAGAGGAGTGGGTTGGGAGAAAGCCAGACCAAAACGTGGCATAAATACATAAAGTCAGTGACAAATGAACTGAGCCATGTTGGTAGGTGTAGACTACCTGGTTGGCATCTGTGAAGTGATAACAACCGATGGTTAGAGACCTTGAATGACATGGCTCAAAATCGTTTACAATGGCGAAGATGCATCCAATCTTTGTGTTCTCCCAAATACTAATCTTCTGAATTCTTCATGTCTCTATCTTTTTTCTCCTTCCAAATATATTTCACTGTATTAAACTGTTTCAATAACATCTTCAAACTCTAATCTTTCACATAATGCTTATACTCTTACTATTTCTACCAATATGGGATTTGAATCGATAACTGCATCTCTGTGTTAATGTGGTATGCCAATTCGAACTGATGCACGTACGTACGAAGTTCTACGTTGTGACTGACTGACTGACTATCTAACAACAACATATAGTGCATAAAAATTTGAGTCACCGATAGATGAGTGGTTAAATTGAGACTTGATCGATAGAATTCGGTCAGCAATATGGACTAGATACACATGACATTTATTTACCTATTTAAACACATAAATATCAGTACAAGGAAGCACCACATACATGTGCGCCGCACAAATCTCATTTGATTTGTGTAGGGGCTGTAATACTTCCAGGTGCCTAAACTGAAGTAGATTTGACTCTGTAAACCGAGAGATTCTGTGGCAGTGTCTGTCATTGAATGGTGTACCTCAGAAGTACATAAACCTTGTTAGGATCTTTACTCGAAAAACACCAGTCAAGTCACAGCTTATGGCAAACTGTCATCTCATTTTGCAACCTCAATTGGTGTCCAACAAGGCTGTTCACTATCTCCACTTTTGTTCAACTTCATTGCAGACCTACTACTGGAAATAACGTTTTCGTTGTCTGGATTTTCGGGCATTGATCTCCTACCAGGAGGTCCACTTATCCACTTAGAATACATAGATGATATAGTCCTGTTTGGCGGAAACGCAGATAAAATGCAATCTTTTAGTAGCACTGGGCAACGACGCCAGGATATTTGGAATGTGTTTCTCCACTTGTTGCTACACAAATGGCCTGTGTCAACACTTGAACTAAGGATAGAGAGTGAGGTGGTCGAACACGTCGACAACTTCACTTATCTTAGAAGTCTGATCAGCCCTAATGGGTTGATGTCTGACGAAATCTCAGCATGGATTCAAAGAGCACGTTTGGCTTTTGTTAACTTACGTCACCTATGGCGAATGGGAGATATCCGCCTATTAATTAAGGGACGAGTATACTGAGCAACAGTTCGTTCTGTTATACTTTACGTTTGCGAAACGTGGCCATTAAGAGTAGAAGATACACGTAAGTTACTAGTATTTGACCACAGATGTCCTAGAAATATTGCTCGTATCTGCTGAGATCACCGGGTAAGTAATAGTGAGGTTAGATACAGGGTATTAGGGAGTGACGGTAAATCAGTTGATGAGGTCATGAATCTTCATCGACTGAGATGGTTGGGCCACGTGTTACGTATACCTGAACACCGATTACTACGACGCGCAATGCTGACTAGTGTTGGAGACAGATGAAAGAAAGTTAGGGGCGACCAAACCAAAACGTAGCATTAGTCCTTGGAGTCACTAACTTCTGGTGTGAGACATATTGGTAGATGTAGACTACTTGATTGGGGTCCGCGTGACTATCGTAACCAATGGTTGGAGACTCTAGGTGACATAAATGAGAATCGATCACAACGGTGTAGGTGTATACACTCTATGTGTTCACTTAAACTGTGAGATTATAGTTGCTTTATTTCTTTCTTTCCACCAAATAATTATTTCTTCATGAACTATATCTTTACATACAATCTTTTATATATTACTACCATTGAACTAACTGCTTCTATGAATTCGGTGTTCACCTTGTTGTGCTAATGAGGTGTGGCAACTTCGACCGATGCATATATGTGCCTGATCCCACGTTGTAGCCGACTGACTAACACAGAAAGTGGTAAATAATTAACATAATACATATATCCTAATTTGTAAAGATTCTGACAATTACTTAATTTAAAAAAGTTATTACAAAATAACATATCTAATTATCAAAACATAGGTATAGGAAGGGATATCAAACCTTTTGTTAACAAACATAAGTGTTTATCGATTAAATTAAACGTATTCTATCTTATTATTGTGAGAGGGAATTAGGCCTCTCAACCTTGTGCCGCCATGCATCCCGCTTTCTATTGTCAAGTATCTCACTTTCGATTGATGATACATACTACTTATATCTGTCGACATCAGTAGCATACACCACAATACAACAAGCATAATTGTTAGTTCAAATCCAAATCAATAAAAATTAGGCCAAAATTAAGAGGAACGCTGAGTGAAATTATTAGACGTGGATTTTTTTGTTTGTATTTATTTACAGTGTCCCTGAAGCAATATTCCGTGAAAATAGGAAGTTGGGGGTTCAATCTGTTGGTAAGTGAAACAACAGTTCAAATACTGACAACAAAACTAATAAATAATAACTATTGAACAAGCTGTGAATACCATGATTAAACAACATAATGATTAACGTTTTGAGGTTTGAAGCAATGAATACTTAGATTGAGCCCAAGTAAAAAACATCAACAGTACGATGCAGGTACACAACGCTGACAAGCATCACTGTAAAAATGTAGGATAAAAGTACATTCATATCAACAGTCACTCACAACGTAGAACTTCGTATGTATGTACATCAGTTAGAGTTGCCATACCACATTAACACAGAGATGCAGTTGTCGATTCAAATCCCATAGTGGTAGAAGTAGTAAAAGTATCAGCAGTAATCGGAAAGACTAGGGTTTGAAGATGTTACTCAAGGAGTATAATAGAGTGAAATAAATTTGTAAGGAGAAAAAAGATAGATACATGAAGAATTCAGAAGATTAGAATTTGAGAGAACACAAAGATTGGATGCATCTTCGCCATTGTAAACCATTTTGAGCCATGTCATTCAAGGTCTCTAACCATCGGTTGCTTTCATCTCGCGGGTGTCAACCAGGTAGTCTACACCTACCAACATGGCTTAGTCCACTTATCAGTGACTTCATTGATTTGTGACACGTTTTGGTCTGGCCACCCCTAGCTTTCTTCCAACCTACTCCTACACCATGAAACATTGCACGTCGGGGCAGTCGGTGGTTGGTTGGGCATACGTAACACATGTCCCAGCCATCTCAACTGATGAACTTTCACTACTTCATCAATCGATTTGCCATCCTTACCTAGTACTCGTTTCCTAACAACTGCATTACTTACCCGGTGGTCCCAGGATATACGAGCAATGCTTCGAAGACACCTATGATCGAACACTAGTAGCCTACGAATATCCTCTACTCTTACCGGCCATGTTTCACTTCCATAAAGTAGGACGGAACGAACTGCTGCACAGTAAACCCGTCCTTTGGTTGCTAGACGGATATCTCGCCTACGCCACAAATGATGCAAGTTGGCGAAAGCTAGACGAGCCTTCTGTATCCGTGCTGAGATTTCGTCAAACACCAGACCACAAGGGCTGATGAGACTCCCAAGATAAGTGAAGTGGTCTACACGCTCAACTACTTCACTCCCTATCATTAGTTCAGGTGTCGCTGCAACCCAATCCTGAAGTAACATTTTGCACTTCGAGGGAGAGAATCGCATCCCGAACATGCCTGCATTGTTGCTTATGGTGGTCAGAAGACTCTGCATTTTGTCAGCGTCTTCACCGAGTAAAACTACGTCGTCGGCGTATTCTAAGTCAACAAGTGAGCCTCCCGGTAAGAGTTCAACTCCTAGAGGCTTAGCTGATGAAAGTGCTGTCTCTAAAAGTATGTCAATGACAAAGTTAAACAAGAATGGGGAGAGTGGACAGCCCTGACGAACTCCACTTGTGGTAATCAGTTCTGATGACAGTTCGCCATAGGCTCTAACTCGACCAGTTGTGTTCGAGTAGAGAGCCTTTATGAGGTTAATGTACTTCTTTCAGTGACAAACACTGCCATAGAACCTCACGATCAACGGAGTCAAATGCCGCCTTAAGTTCAAGAAATACTCCGATTGTGAGACGTCTGTGTTCTAGGACCTGACGTAGAGTGAATATCTGGTCTATGCAACCACGTCCAGGTCGGAAACCAGCCTGGTTTTCTCTAGTCTGCTCTTCACGAGCTTCGGTTAGGCGACTTAGTATTATTGAAGCTAATATTTTAGACACTATATTAGTCAAACTGATCCCTCTGTGGTTGTCACAGGAGGACTTTTGTCCTTTCTTATAGACTGGCACAATCAGTGATTGGGACCAGTCAGATGGAATTACGTCCAGTTCCCAGATTCTACCTAAGACCTCAGTCAATCTCGTTGCTAGTACTGGACCACCATCCTTAAAAATCTTAGTGGTAAACCTGTCAGGGCCTGCTGCTCTCCCTCGCTTCAGGTTTCCTATAGTTTTGTCAATGTCGTAGAGAGTTGGAGGACTTACATCAATTTGCCATTCAGGACGACTGGGGATCGTGGGTAATTGAAGTGTGGCTGAAGGCCAGTTGAACTGATCGCTAAAGTGTTCTGCCCATCGATCCAATCTCCTGGATTGAGAATGAATGATATGCCCATCTTTGTCTGAGATAGTTTCGCTAATAGTTGGGTTCCTAATGCCGGTTTCTTTAACGAGTCTGAATAGCTGTCTGCTGTTACCTATTGCCGCTGCCTTTTCCATATCTCTTGCTTTCGCTACCCACCACTGTTCACGATCATTGCGTAGGCTTCTTATTAGCCTTCGCTTAAGCTGACTCCGCTCTTCGTTATGTTCAGAGCCAGGTGGGATGAGTTTACGAGCATCTATCAGTGCGGTAGATGCTGCCGAGATCCATTGTTTCTCCCTAACCTTATGGTTTACATTACTAGCGGATATCACTGCTGTTTCCACAGCTTTTCGGATGTCATTCCACGCTGCCTCGGGGTGGACACAACTTACATGGCTGCCTAACTGTTTTTCTAGTTGCTCCTGAAATATATTCTTAGCTTGCTTATCATTAAGTAGGACCCTTAGAGGCTTCCCTGCAGTATCTTTCCTACGTCCAGTAAGACGCAGACAGATACGTGCTCGCACTAGAGCATGATCTGAATCCAAGCATGTGCTCCAGAATGAGCGACAGTCTTCTATCGAGCCCCTCCATCGGTGGCTGATAGCGATGTGATCTAATTGGGTCCAACGTTGGGACGAATTCGGGGGTAGCCATGTCAAAAGATGTTTTTCCTTATGCTTAAAGTTGGTATTTGCAAGAAATAGGCGGTTATCTGAGCACAGCTGCAACAGACGGTCGCCATTATCTGTTCTTTTAGCCACAACACCATAAGATCCACCTAGGTGTCTTTCCCTTTCACTTAGTTTACCTACTTGAGCATTAAAGTCACCAGCCACTATTACTACATCAGAACGCCTAGCTTTTCGGAGGAGGTCAGAAAGTTTCCTGTAGAACTCATCTTTTATATCGTCTGAGCTGCAGTCAGTGGGAGAGTAGGCAGAGACGACGAAGAGGCAACGACGAGTTTCCCTATCTTTCCGAGTCCTTACTGATCCGTTTAGTCGGACAGCGCATAGACGACTGTCTACTGGGATCCAGTCTAAAAGAGCTAGTTCTGCCCTACGACTTAATGCTATACCTACTCCAGCGAGGCCACGGGAAGCAGCATCAGGGCCTCCAGATACACGAAGCGTGTATCGAGATGGTTCTTTATTTTGATTAGGTGAGGTCAAATGAATGACGCTACTCAGATCTTGTATGCGTGTTTCGGAGACGCAGCACACATCCATGGTGTAAGATTCTAGAGTCCTAGCTAAGGAAGCCTGTTGTCCTATTTGGCACAATGTTCGAACATTAAACGTTCCTACATGTAATTTAGAGCGTGGTTTCAGGAGACCAGGAATAACGTTCCGTGTACTCGAATCGTTTTCCCTAGCGGTGTGAGGTGATAAAAGGACGTGGAAAGAGTTAGTCGTGGAGATAAGAGAGTTATTAGGAGGTGTAGGAAGGATTTGAAAGTGACCAACTTGGTCTCGTGTGTTGTTACGGCTATGAGGGTTAATATCACTTCCCGGCTGCCCATACCGTGGAAAAGTATTTCTTGAGGGACCTGAAAAGGAAGTTGGATTAGTGTTGCTCTTAACGACCTGGGAGCGTGACCGCAGTGCCCAAGGGACAACTGCTTGGAGCCGGTCACGCACGGACTTTTTGTGGGGGATTTTTGAATTGTTAGCTCCGTTATTCAAAGGATCTTACCGCCGAAGACGGAAATCCGTGGGATAAGGCGAGGTGTGCATTTTTAGGGTCGACCTTTTCTAACCCCACCCCCCTTGTGGGAAGGCAGCATCGCTGTCATGCTGGTTGTCTGAAGGAAACAACTTACTGCCGTCACACCTCTGTACAGTCGGCAGTACGACTTCGCCTTCGGACCTTGGGATTTCTGCTTTTAGTCTCACCGCTCTTCAACCGACCTGTCTGGCATGGTAGGACCTCGAGGAACGATTGTTCCAGCCAGCATAGCTCGATTGCTTCATCACGATAGGCAAGCCCGACCACCACGTCAAGGTAGAAGCAACGGTCGAGGGAAAACTAGTGATTGTATGAGTATCAAAAGCATCACATATACAACCGATTTAGAACCATTACGAAACATAACAAGTATTTAGAATTGGAGCAGCTGTAATATATCGATAGAATTCATCATATCATTTATTTGTATATATATATATATATATATATATATATATATATATAGCTATCTAGATAGCTATATAAGTGCTGGTGGTGGCGTGAGTGATGAGATTGATGCACGTATAATGAAAGCCAGAGCGGCTTATGCCAATCTGGGCCATCTTTGGCGCCTTCGTGATGTTAGTCTGGCTGTAAAATGTCGGATCTACAACGCGTCGGTGAGAGCAGTTTTACTCTATGCTTGTGAAACCTGGCCTCTCCGAGTTGAGGATGTTAGACGTCTCTCTGTGTTCGATCATCGTTGTCTCCGAAGGATTGCTGACATCCAGTGGCAACATCATGTTAGTAATGCAGAGGTTCGGCATCGTATGTTCGGGCACAGAGATGATAATTCAATTGGTGTCACCATCTTGAAACACCGACTTCGGTGGCTTGGACATGTTTTACGAATGTCGTCCCAGAGACTTCCACGTCGTGCATTATTTGCCGACCCTGGGACTGGTTGGAAAAAGCGGAGAGGAGGTCAGTGTATGACATGGTGTCGTGGCATGAAAGAAAGCCGCAAAGGGCTAGCTTCTGTTGGTCCTTCACGACTCCCTGGCTGGGGTCCGAGAGATGGTGCAACACAGTGGCTAGAGACGTTATCGGATATGGCTCAGAATAGGAGCCAGTGGCGATCCTGCTGCAAACTTCTTTTACTTTCTACATAAAGAATGGTTCTAACTTTCTTAACTGAAAGAGTCTTCTGGTTGTACATTTCAGTCCGCCTTATCTTTTCATCCCTTCTCTTCCTACTTTCATTATTTTGTGTGGCGCATATGTATCTGGTGCCCTTTTGTACCAATATATATGTGTTTAAATAAAATAAATAAAAATAATATATCGATATGAATGGTATAGAAAATACAATGACATGTATTAATTACTGATAAACAATTCAACCCCTCCTTTAAAGTACTGGTTGAGCTGATTATTCCTAATTCAAGTAGAAGCCATAACAAGAGACCACATATCACCGACGTTAAGTTTCAGCTAAATTTTATAGGAAAGTAGAGTTATTAAGACGGTCTTTCACACATAGAAATATACCCACTAAGTTTAACAAAACTCTACCGAGTTAAAAACTAAAAATCCCTGTACAGGTCTCAAATTTCTGTTTAAAAGGCTATTTAAACCTCTTGGAAAGAGTACAGAGGACTTTTATATATGCAGTTCCGCAGAATCCTAGCTTAGCACCTCACAACGAGAAACCTTTGAAGTTGGATCTCTACAAACTACGTTATCATATACTGAGTGACGACTTAATTAGGGTGTACATGATACATATAAATGAGGCTGGACCTGATTTTTCCTTCTCCAACTAGATCAGGATAACTCAAAAAACATAAAAGGCAGGTTCAAAAACCAAGATCAAACCAAATCTCTGTCACACACAGGTTTTTTTAGTCGGCTGATCAACCGCTCAAATCTATCACCTTGTGCAACAACCCAAGCATATTTGGGATGTAATTCTTCCCCTCTAAGTTCAAACTATTACTTGAAAACCGGCAAGCATCAACGCCTGAACTAATGATAGGAAGTAAAGTAGTTGAGTATGTCGATCACTTCACTTATATTGAAAGTATTATCAGCTTCAGTGGGTTATTGTCTAACGAAATCTTGGTATGTATTCGGAAATCCCGGACCACTTTCGTCAACTTGCGTCACTTGTGACATAAGCGAGATGTCAGTCAGCCACCCAAAGAGGGTGTGTTCTGCCCGGTAGCCCAATCTATCCTACTTTATGACCTGTGGAAGAAGACATGCATAAGCTAAAAATGTTCAGTCATATGTGTCTTCGAAGCACTGGTAGCATATCATGACCGATTGAGCGACGCTTTGGTTGAGTGAGGGGTACTATATAAAGGTGGAGAACCGGTTGATGAGGGAGCGAATCTCATCAACAGAGGTGGCTAGGAGGTGCATTACGTATGCCCGACTACCACATACCTTGACATATGGTGCTATCTGATGTAAGAGTATGCTTTAGAACTAAGAGCGGCCAAATCAAAACGTGACAGCAGTTAATGAAGCCAATAATAGTTGGGTTGACTTATGTAGGTAGATACAGACTACCTAGTTAAGGTTCGTGTGACTGCAACTACACATTAGACTTCGAACGACATAAATAGAAAATGTTCATGACTTAGGTTTATCCACACTGTTTTTTCCTAGACCCTAAGTCCCGAAATGTCCTTTACTATAACTGATAACGATACTGTTACTACCTCTACCACTCTACGCATTGTCCTGTTAACTTCAACTCAGTGTGCTAACGTAGAGCGAGAGATACACATTTGTGTTTGTATGGCTCAGTATATAGAATGAAAGTTAGCATTCTGAATAAGCACCATATATACTTAAAAAAAAATGCTAATTTTCATTTCATTTTAGAATTTAATCGAGGATAAGCATCCTTAAGGATGACAATTGTCGTTTACGATTTATGACTGATATCTTAATATTACCAATTGTCCTCTAGACCACAACTAATTTCTCACAATAAACTACCTTTTACACACAAACCAACCTTTTTACTTGGATCGACAAAAAAGAAAACCCTGGATGCAACAGTGTCAGCACGATATAAAAGTCAGATCTTTTCAAAGCAGACCGCCGTTCCGTTTCAGCGACCTAGAAAAGACGGGCAAGAGGTGGTCTTTCCGTATTTCAAATGCCGAGGTTCTGTTTTGCGTCCGTTAGGTTGCATGAATATCAGGTCTTCTCGTATGTAAGTGGTCTTTTGCAGCAGCAAAACCACAAAATCACTTCCAACAACATTAATTTAGCTCTGTCTGTCTTATAATGGATACGTTGAACCGATTGTTGCTTCATAACTTACCAATCTCCCCATTTTGGGGAAATTTTTCTCCGGTTAGGGTAAATCTCGGGGATAATTTTGGTCAAGTATTTAGTCAAATATTTTGTCAAACATTTGGTACGCGCGCTATTCGAACGGGAAGTTTAGTCCTCACGTGATTTACATTTCTCAAACTTTTTCTGTGTTCTTACGCAACAAAAGTATCATTTCCATTCGAAAAAATCTATTCTGAGCTATACGTTTGGTAGATTACTTCTTTTTTTGTGTTTCACTCAAATTAATAGTTAACTGTGGTTTTGCCTCAGCTCACTATCGGTTTTTTTATAGTTTTCACGTAAAGGCTAGCTTTAGCTTATCGTTAACTGTTTTTATACATTTTTGCCAGTTTTGTTTACTGTGTTTTTTTTAACGGTCCTAAATTTACTGCTTGTATTTTTAGACAGTCTAAATCACTAGCCATGAAAAATTCATGCAAGAGACCTGGTTGCCGTTTTGCCGTTACATCTGGCATGCAGTGTGACAACTGTAAAGGTTGGTTCCATGAGGCATGTACAGATCTAACAGCAGCAGCCTATAGCAGACTCAGTAAGTCTGATCGTAGGTGGGTATGTGTTACCTGCAACACCGATACGGTAGTTATGTTGGGTACTATCATTACTTTACTGACAGGTCTGAGAGATAAGTTGTCTAAGAATTCGGTAAATGATATCATCATGACGGGTAACAAAGCTGGAACGCACAGAGCAAATAAGAAAAAGGACTCTGACAGGTCGGTGCTCGACGGTGCTGTTAACAGAACGAGTGATGATGTGCTGAAACTCAGCACCATCTTAACATCGACTCCCTCAGTAAACTTGGGTCCCCCAGGGAACGGTCCTTGAATGAGACAGTGGTTCCCAAAAATCCTGTAGGTGGATGGACTCATGTTAACAGGAGTAATAAAGCCCAAGTGTCCCCGCCGAAACTGAACGTCCCAAGGATCGTGCGGAAATCAATTGATGCTTTGGCCGCACAGTCTACACCCAAGACTGTCCGCCCGGTCATCACTGAACCCAGAAATCGAAAACGCGCCTCGACATCCAAACAACAAGATACCAAACCTAGACGCCCTGGAAAACTCGGGAAATCAATTGCGGTTCGTGACGACTGTCATAATCATGAACCTTATTGACAACCCTGACCTTCCTCTCAGTTTGCAGGACAAAAACGATAGGATGCTCTGGAGAGAATTAAACAAGAGGCTTGAACTCCCTAGAGTAGAGCCTTTGACCGTCACACGGCTCACTCGAGGGAAGGACTCTAACCACCTAAACCACCCGAGGCTGCTTCGTGTTACACTTAAGAATGCCTCCGACATAGAGGACGTCCTGCTTGCCAGTCACTTACTGAAATCCGATGGGAACGTAAGAATACTGCCCGACATACCGTATTCTGAACGAAATCTCATCCGGAACATCCCTAAGGAATCTCGTGAGGCGTTTTTCCGTGGACGAAATATCATTGTGCAAGGTGTGCCGGAAAATACTGACCCAACTCAAGCAAACTCTGATATTCGGGAATGGAAATTCATCAAGCATTCCTTAAAACTGAAGAACATATTGACCCAACAGGTAATGCGGCTGGCCAAGAGAGACGGAGACTCTAGGCCCCGGCTGCTGAAGATAACTTTCCCCTCCTCCCACATGGCGGCTGCAACTCTGGAAGCATTTCGTGCCAATAGACGTCGGTTGCCAACTGGCATCCATATGCATCCGGATAGGCCCCACGACAGCAGGATCAAGCACAAACGAAAGCTGGAGCTGACAATTCCACTCGTGGACTGTCTTGACCATAAAAAAAACGTGTAAAGGACAGGGACTACCAACTCGGTAAATATCGTATAGGTAGGCTACCTGTCCACTCACACACGGCTCATATAGACAAACAAGAAGAAGCTCACGCGTTCCAAATTGAAAGCATAAACTGCCTATGCACGAACGCCGCGAGCTTGCCAAACAAAATGGATGAGCTACGTGAACTCAGCAACGCTAATGATGCCCATCTGATAGGAATATCCGAAACTTGGATAACGTCTCAGTTTACGGACCAAGAGTTAACAATAACTGGGATGTCTTTATTTTGCAACGACAGAAAAACAGGAATAGGGGGTGGGGTAGCACTATACATACGGTCATGCCTGAATGCGCACCAACTTCACAACCAAGAGTTTCACAATCTTGACGAGTCAGTATGGTGCTCAGTACGATTATCTACCACCTCGAAGTGCCTAGTTGGGGTCGTTTACAGGAAGCCCACTGCCGACATCGAATATGACAAACGTCTGCTGGAAGGATTAACTCGCTCTACGCGTCTCGGATTCTCTCGTATCCTGATTCTAGGGGATTTCAATCTCCCTAGAATCAACTTCGTGGAACAAACATACATTGGTGGTGCCAACTCTACTGAAGCTCTGTTCTTCAACCTTATCGGCGACCTGGGATTATTTGAAAATGTGAAGTCGGCAACCCGTTGGAGAAACAGTCAGACGCCGTCACGCTTAGACTGGGTATTCACAAATGAAGAATTCCTAGTTGACGACCTCTCAATCCTGGCTCCCCTGGGGAAAAGTGATCACGCCGTCCTATCATTCAGCTTTGTCAGCAAAACGGAGCTAAGATATCCTACTTGCAACAAGCGCTGGAACTTCAAACGGTTGAATGTGTTAGTTTTACAGGACTATCTACAACAGGTGGATTGGGATGTTCACCCTCAAATTGAAGTGGATGCTCATTGGGATTTTTTACTGCACACGATCTTATGTGCTACTGAGCATTCAGTTCCTCAAATGGTCCCAAAAAGCTACAAGCAACCTCCAATTATCAAGAACCGCACTCGTCGTTTGCTAAGTCGCAAAAGGCACTGTTGGGCTGAATATAAACGAACTGGTAACAACGGCACGTACAGGCAGTACAAACATATAAGGAACATATGCACAAAGGCAATAAGAGAAGACAGGCTTCAGTTCCAGACCAAGCTTATCGATAGATTCGTCTCCAATCCGAAAAGCTTGTTCAGTTATGCAGCTTCTCTTCGACAAGGCAAAACTGGAGTTTCCCAACTGCTTGGTCCTAATGGCCCGACCAACAACGACAGTGATGCCGCTAACCTTTTGGCTGAACAATACTCCCAGACATTCCAGCTGACCCACATCAACCATACTGACGAAAGCTTCACCTGCACCTGTACAGGACTTTCCGAAGTGGACCTGAGTACTGACCTGGTGCTCCGTAAACTGCAGAACCTAAGAAAAGACACTTCTTCTGGTTCGGACATGGTTCATTCCGCTGTATTGAGGGAAGCAGCTTCAATCCTGGCTACACCATTTAGCGTGATGTTTGCACACTCGCTAAGCAGAGGCAAACCACCGGATATATGGAAGCTGGCCCACATCACACCAATTTTCAAAGGGGGTCGACGCAGTGAACCCTCAAGCTACCGACCAGTGGTCCTTCTCTCCATACCTTCAAAAATTATGGAATCCCTAGTATTCGACGGCATACTAGAACACTTATCATCCTCAAAGTTCTTCTCGCCTCAACAGCATGGTTTCAGAAAAGGTCATTCTTGTATGGCCAACCTGCTGACTGCGGTGGATAGATGGACAACCATCCTTGATCGCAAGGGGAAGGTTGACGTCATCTACCTGGACTTTTCAAAAGCTTTTGATAGGGTCAACCATGCATGTCTTATCAAGATGCTTGGACGATTGGGTAAAAAATCCCCTTTGATTGATTGGCTCTCTTCATATTTAGAAAACCAACACTTTAAGGTCAGGGTTAACTTCACTCTCTCTCAGGCTATGGAATGTCCTAGTGGGGTCCCCCAGGGTTCAATACTAGGACCTCTTCTCTTCTTGATTTATATTAACGATCTTCCTCAACAAGTTTCATCTGACTTATTGCTTTTTGCTGATGATGTGAAACTTTGGAGAGAGATACGTAATCATAATGATATACTAGTTCTTCAGGAGGATCTGACTCGACTTCAAAGTTGGGCAGACGACAACGGACTTACCTTCAACACTTCAAAGTGCAAGGTAGTCCATCTGAGACATGTTGCAGAATATAGTTATAACTTAGGTAACTCATCTCTAGAAGTTTCCCAAGTTGACAAAGATTTAGGAGTGTTGGTACCCTACGACCTGAAATCGTATGCGAACTGTGACAAAAACGCCTCTCAAGCAAACCTCGCACTGGTAACATTGAAGCGCATTTTTGGCCAGTTTGACGGTAGAACCTTCCATATAATCTTCAACAGTTTTATTCGTCCCCATTTAGAGTACGGAAACATAGTATTTCCTCCCTCCCTCCAAAAGGATAAGGTCACTCTGGAACGTATACAACGTCGAGCCACGAAATCAGTTCGAGGTCTCAAATTCAAACCTTATGAAGAGCGCCTCAAACCACTTAACCTTTACCCGTTAGAGTACAGGCGTCTTAGAGGTGATCTTCTTATGACTTATAGTATCCTTAATACTTCTGGTCATCCCCTTAAACAGCTTCTTAAGCTTAGTCATAACACTAACCTGAGAGGCAACACCCAGAAATTGGAGACCCTACATAGCAGAACAGACTGCAGACACAACTTCTACTCCGTTAGAGTTGTCAAGTGCTGGAACTCGCTGCCGACTGAGCTAGTCCAAGCGACCTCCTAGGAGTCCTTTAAGAGGAAACTTGACTTATTCTTAAGGACTAAGGATAACATATTATTATGATTCACCAAACTCTTTTTTTCTCTATTATCGTTCATATACCTAGGTTCTTACCTGGAGGTATTGGTGATCCACTGCTACCAGACACGGAAGACCGTTAAGCGAAAGCTTCTTCTATTCCGTCCTCAACCATTTGAACCATTTGAAGAGCGTCTTGTTCAGTTTTTCTGGAAGTAAAAAGAATTTCGAGCAAATGTAACCTGTGTAGCTATAAATCCCAAAAATCAAT